GGCCCCGCCCCCCCCCCCCCCCGTCCCCCACCCAGGTTAAGATGGAGGCTCTGGCCCCAGGGGTACGGGGGTAACAGCAAGGATTACTTTGGGAGGTGCTTGAAGAAGGGTTTGCTGGTGGCTTGGAGAAAGGGACAGAGGAAGGAGTCCCCTTTTCCTGGCTGCAGGAAGTCCCTGAAGGCTCAGCCCCCTCATCTCATCCCCAGGAGGACTTAGTCCTCAGGATGTGGCTGCTGTGTTTCAGGGCTCCCATGTGACCCGGTGGCCTGGGGTCTACATACTCCAGTGGCAGACGCATGGTTCCTCTGGCAGTGTGTCCTGCAGCCTCCCAGGCGTGGAGGATGTCCTAACGGCTCTGCATAGCCCTGGCCCCAAGTGCAAACTCCTCTACTACTATGAGGTGCTGGCGTCCGAGGACTTCAGGTAGGAGGGCTGGGAGAGGAGGCCTGGGTGGGAAGGGCCTGGGTCCCCACTCCAGGCCGGGTCGCCAACACTCCCGAGCATCCCTTCCTCCGGGCTGTGGGCACTGGGTTCAGGTGAGTGCTGAGTGACTGTGCAGACGCCTGGGCTATTGTTCCACCTCCTGTGTCAGCCTCTCGAGGGGTGGGGCCCAGCATGGGCACTGTGGGAACTCTCCAGTGATTCAGAGAATGCGGGTCCAACACTATGCCTCCAGCTCTGCGTCAGCAGCAGAGACTTCCCTTAAAATGAAACCCTGGACAGAAGCCCAGCATATCAGACCGGTTGGTTGGGGGCAGAAAAGGAGACCAAGGGCCTCCAACTTGGGCCTTTTTTCACTCCTAGAATTCCATAGGGTTTGGAACTGTTCTAGAACTTTCTAGAATAGTGCCTCACACACTACTCTCCCCAAGTTGTAGCTTTCAGAGAGACAAAGAAGTGTGGTGGCTAAGACCTATAGCACTTCCCGGCTGCTGTGTGACCTGGGACAAGTCACTTCACCTCTCTGAGCCTCAGGTGCCCCATCTGCTAGATGGGTACCTCTGCCTCATGGCGGTTGTTGTAGGGATGATATAGTTGGGGAAGCCTGCCTGTTACCTGTGCATACAGTAAGTGCTTGGTAGCAGAAATGAAGCAGAGTCTGAGGTGGAGCAGGCAATTTCTTCAAAGCTCTTATCTTTATTATTATAAGGCCTTTTATCTAAGTGTGATTTTTCATCCTGCTTCGTGACATTATCTATTAGTTTTCATCTAAAAACAATGCTTGAGTTCTTTACTGTGGGGTAAAATAGAGGCTCCAGGAGGGTGCTGATTCTGGACCCTGCATCGCAGCCGGAGCTCTGAGGACCCCAGGGGCACCTGCAGCCCAGAGTGAGGAATACTGGGCCAGAGCTTTATTCCAAAGAAGGATCCCATAGCTTGTCAGCTCAGACTCAGATGAATAGACATGGGCATCTGGGGTTGCTGACTCCGGGAGGGCTGGTTCTGGTGGGTGGAGGCCATAGGGGTGCATGACAGCCAGTCTGGTCTGGTCAGTGTGGCGGGACTTTGCTGCCCTGTGTTTCAGTAGCCTCATGAGAAAATCAGTTCAAAGGCTATTTCCTGGTCACCCTCAGTGCACAGGTGCTGGGCCGGGCCTTGGGGGGACCAGAGAGACAGGTCTGCCATCACAGAGCAGAGGACCAGGTACTCATGCCCATGTGTAATTATGGGCAGCGATGCATGCCAGGAAGGTGAGTCTGGCATAGAGTCCTTGCCCAAGGTCACATGGACAGGAGGTGCTAGAGGACTTAACACAGAGAATGGTCAGAGCACAGAACAGGGTTGTGGGGGTAGGTATCTGGGAAGTGACCTTGGAGTTGAGATTTAAGTGATATGCGCTCGAATCACCAGGGGATCTTGTTAACATACAGATCTCTTTAACATGCAGACTCTGATTCTGCATCTCTAACAAGTTCTAGGTGGCTTGTGCTGCTGGTCCCTGGACCACACTTTGAGTAGCAAGGCCCTAACGCTGCGTTGTCCAATCCGCAACTACTAGCCTCCCGCAGCAATTTCAACTTAGCAAGTAGAATGAAATATAATGAATGATTCAGTTCTGCAGTCGCACTAACCACATTTCAAGGGCTCAGTGGCCCCACGTGGCCAGAAGCTGCCATGTTGGATGGCAGGATGGAGCGGCACCATCCACCAGAACTTTCTGCTCTGAAGTTTGGAGTAGGCGTTAACTAGACAGCTCAGGGAGGTGCTTCTGCAGCCGGCTGGGCTGGGTGTGTGCAAAGGCGGGGTGGCGGGAGCTGGAAGGAGGGCAGCGTGGTTGGAATGCAGAGAGTGATGGGGGGTGAGGCTAGAGGTGGGGACCCCCAGTCTGCAGGGTTCTTCAGGACCAGGTCAGGGGAGCCCGAGTGGTGTGTGGCAGATGGGGCCCAGTGCTGGGGGATGGGGTGTAGGACATGGGGGACGCCTCATTTGTCATCATCAAGTCACTCGCTTTTCCCTCTGCTCTGGGCCCGGGCCCCTGGGACGGTTACCAGCTGTGTGGAACAAGCCCTGGGGCCTCATCTGCAGTATCAACAGCTTTTCCACTGCCATGTGTTGACCCCAGGGCCGTGTCACCTTGAGAAGGTTGAAGGTGACCTGCACTGTGCCCTTCCTCCCCAGGGGCTCCATGTCCAGCCTGGAATCCTGTACCAGCGGCTTCTCCCAGCTCAGCGCTGCCACCTACTCGTCCTCTGGCCAGTCCCATAGCAGTTCCCTGGTCTCCAGATAGCCTGGTCTGAGCCCTGCACAGCATCCCACTTGCCTCCTGCCGCTGGAAGTGTCCAGAATAAGAAGCCAGCTTGCCACGAGGACCAGGAATGTGTGGGCTGGAGCCCCAGGTCTAGATGCTGCCAAAGTTGGGGTGTCTGGAGCAAGTGGCAAGGATCCAGCTCATGGCCTGAGTGTGGCACAAGCCTCGAGGTCAGGACTTTCGAGGTGGCAACAACAGACTTCTTGTAAGGAAAGACCAAGGGATGTGACCATCTTCGGGTCTCCCTGGATCTAGGGCTCAGTGATATCAGCAGGGCTGAGACCCCCTCTCTCCACCTGTGGCTCCACTTTTGATCACTGTTTGGTGCCCTCTTCCTCCCCTTCCACCCCCCGCTCGGCTGCAGAGGGGAACCTTTCTTTTCCCAAAGTTCCAGTCCATGTCCCAGAATTGAGTTACCAGCCTGCTGGGGCCTCACATCAATTCTGGAACCAGTCACAGTTACCGGGTGTGTGGGGGGAATGGAGAACATTGATTGGCCAGCAGGCTCGTGTTCAATTTGGACCAATCACTGTGATCCGGGAAGGGGTGTGCAGTACAGTGATTGGCAAGCCCGAATCACATGCACATCCCTGGAGCCAACCACATAGTCTGGAAAGGGCAAGGGGTGCCTCGAGGAATATTGGGGTTCTCCCCAGAAGAAATGATGCTGGGCAGGCGGGATGGTGGGTTCTCACTGTAGCATCTGATTCCATAGCAATGCCTGTGTCTCAAGATGTGCATGGTGAGCAGTTACGAGAGTTACAGGCTCTGCTTGCTGTGGCGGGCAGCCCACTCTGGACTGAAGATCCATTTTCCAGGGCTTGGCTGGGAGGGCCTAATCCTGATGACCCCTGCTTTGAAGAGGGTGGGAAAGCCCAGGGTTTCTGCTAAGGTCCAGGCAGTGATGGGACAACTCAGGCTCCCCTCTGGAGGTCCCTTTCTCTCCTGGGGAGCTGTCTAATTATGACATTTTGGGGTTGTAAGCCACAGAAACCCACCTTCCATGTGCTTAAACACAAAAGGGTGACCATTCATGGGTGCATGTAACTGGCCAGTCCAGGAGGTCTTGCTTCAGGTATGGCTGGATCCAGGGTCTCGATATGGCATGAGGACTTCCCTGCAGGGTGGAGGCTGTTGTCTCTGCTTGGGGGCAGATCTGACTCCAGAACCAGTTCTAATTTTGACATGACTCCCCAGTTACTACATGGGAGAGTCTTGGGTCTTTTGGGGGCCTAAGGACATTTCTTTCCTGGGTCCCCCAAAAGGCAACAGGTCAGAGGTCACCAACTGGCAGCTTATGGTCCGATCTGGCCTGTCTTTAGTCTTTTTTGTTTTTTGCCTATAGAGTGATTTAAATGTTGGGGCATTTCATATAGAAATCAGGATTTCTGGCTTCCCTTAGGCATTTGGGAGTGTTGGCAAAATGGGGTCACTGTTGTTGCATGAAGAAAACTCTGCTGTGCCCCTGGACTGGATCCCCTCTGTCAATCAGTTCCCAGCCCATACCTCTCACCCTCATTATCTGCTTGGGAGGGACCTTGCTGATGTAGCTCTACCTGCAGCCTGGGTTCCAACCTGGAGGCCAAGGAGTTCAGCATCACTCATCTCTTCACCTTGCTTAGAGTTGGGATTGTCTCTGGCCAACACCCAGAGTCACTGGAACAAGGGGTGGGTTTACAGCCAATGACTGTCACCTTCATGCAAGCTTGGCATGCTGGGTCAAGGAGAGCGAGGACTGACTTCCCTACCAACCTCAACCCAAACCCAGAGCAGAGGAAAAGGGCCATCCTTTGTAGAGACATCCTTCTCCCTATGGGGAGAGAGCCTTGTCCACCTTCCTGTTGGCTCTCTTTTTGCTTCTCAGGTATATGAACAAAATACATAACTCTGCACGCTGCATCAAGGTGTGTGTGCATGAGAAGGAGATGGATTGACCGATTGGAGCGAGATGTTCTCAGAACTAATTGCTCCCATATCTGCAGGCATCTGTGGCTGAGAGCAATTTGCGATATTTTCAACTGTCATTAAATGAATTTCTAGCTTGTCTCTAAAAACTAGGTGTTACCCTAGAAATATTCTGGGATAAGCTGCCTTGGTGGTCTCTGCACATTTATTGTCTAGGACTAGTGCCCAGTGTAGGATGGAGAAACCTTTTCTTGACTCGGGGCTATAATTGGCTTGGACAACTGGGGGAACCTGCCTCTGCCATCCACATTCCAGCCTTAACAGCAGCGTGAGGAGCCTCAGGCCCTCTCGGCTCTCCTCTTGGGAGTGCTCTCTTCTCTGGGAGAAACCCAGCTCAGACTGCCTTACCTAAGGAAGGGAATTCCCTGCACCCTATTTTTGGGATGACTGAGGATGGTTCTTCCTCCAAGTATGGCCAGATCCAGGACCCCATGGCCTCAGGCCTCTCAGCTGCACTCTCTTGTCTCTTCATCTCTGCACAGTGGTCTCGTTCTTCCACCTGGTGGGAAAGGTAGCTGTTGACAGCTCCAAGCCTGTAATGGCAGGGTTCACAATCTGAGACAGAGACACTTTCCCAGTGGAAGTCACATGCTAACTCCTGTGGAACATATTGACGAGGGGTTGGGGTCCTGTGATTGGCCTTCTCTCCAGAAGCAGCAGTGGGATGGGGGAGGGCCAGTCCCTCAATGGACAGGAGCTCAGAACCAGCAGTTGTCCTTGGTGACGTCTGCTACGTGGTGCTGGTTCTCCCATGTGGTGGTCTCTGGGACCCACGTGGAGGCATCATTCATAGGTCATTCTTCTTGCCTTTGAGAGGCCTAGGATTAAAAATAATCTAAGGAAGGGGCTGCCGAGCTTTTGGCTTTTAAACTTCCTCAGACCCAAGGGCTGGAAGCTCCTTGGCTTGGGCTCTTTTCTCCACCTTGTTCATGCATCCATTGTGGCTAGGACAGAAACAACCCACTAGCAACGTGACTATTGCCGTTTAGGAGCCTGGGTTTTGGATGCAGACCAGGGTTCAAACCCCAGCCTTCCTTTCACTAGCTATGTAACCTCGAGCAGGTGACTTAAACCTCTCTGTGCCTCAGTTTCCTCATCTGTAAATGGGGATAGCAGTGCCTACCTCATTAGGTTGTAATGATGCAATGAGAATGGCCACGAAGTCCTCGGCATGGCCCCAGCACACAGAAAGCACTCAGTAAACGTCGTGGTAATTCCCATTCTCTAATGCTTCTCATCCAAAGACTCTAGGCTCCTTCCAGAGGACCCCAGTCACTGCTTTTCATGGGACATCATGGCTCAGAGTACCGGGTGCAACCAGAGAAAAGTGGGTGTCCAGATACTGTTTCCCCAGGCTGGCCGGTCAGCTCAGTTAGTGTGTGGTGTTATAACATCAATGTCAAGGGTTCAGATCCCTGTACCTGCCAGCTGCCCCAAGATTACCTTCTGAGCTGGGTGTGCAGTGGGACTTGCCTTTTTAGAAACTACTTGGGCTTTTTGGGCAAATCCACTAATTAGAAAGCCATTCTGAGGGATACTTCTCTCAGCCAGGGAGGCAATGTTTTCTACAGTGGTTGAAATAAAGGGATTTTGAAGTTTTTTGTTTTTTCTCCCTACCTTGCCCTCTCTGGAATTCCCCCTGCCCCCTGGGGAATTAATTGTTCAATGAGAATCGAATAATTCCTTTCAACAAAGTCTGTTTTGGCCAGTGAAATATGATTTTGTTTTCCTGATCATTTGCTCCAACTAGAAGCATTAAACATTTTAGATTTGGATATAATTCTACTGTCAACTCCCTAAAACCCTGGAGGTTTTTCTGGGCTTGTTCAAGAATTTCTCAGCTGTTGTTTATAAGACTTTAGAATATCTTAACAGGGGTGATATCACCCCCAAGAGGTTGCAAGTTGGTTCTTTGGGGGCTGGAGATGGGGATCATACTTTTAATGTATAAGGCACAGATACATTGTATTAGTTTCTTAGGGTTGCCATAATAAATTACCACAAACTTGGTAGCTTAAAACAATAGAAATTTATTCTCTCTCAGTTCTGGAGGCCAGCGTCCGGAATCAAGGTGTGGGCAGGGCTGTGTTCTCTCTGAAGACTCCAGGGGAGGCTCCTTCCTGCCTCTCCCAGCATCTGGTGTCTCCAGATGTTGCTGGTCTTGTGGCCGCATCACTCCGGTCTCTGCCTCCATCTCCATGTGGGCTTGTTTTGTGTGTCTCCTCTTCTGATAAGGACACCAGCTATTGGATTTAGGGCCCATCCCAAATTCAGTGTTATTTCATCTTGAGATCCTTAACTAATTACATCTGCAAAAACCCTATTTCCAAACAACGTCACATTCTAAGGTTTGGGGTGGAACATGAATTTTGGGGGAATTCAACCCATCACATATGAATAAAATATAAAGGGACATATACAGTTTATCAGTGGTATTAAAATGCAGATCCCTGGGGCCCAATCAGCTCTGCCAACTTGGGATCTTGGGGATGGGTTGCTTAATTCTACCTGCCAAGTATCCAGGTGAAAGCAAGGGCCCTGCAGTCTTTTTTTTGGCTGCTCTGTCATGGCCCCTGGGGGTTTACCAAAATCCCAGACTTGGCATCCCAGAGTGCTACACTGAGGACAACAGCCACAGTCCTGACGTCAGAAGGTAGGAGGGGCCCTGTCCAGAGCACTGCCTGTCCCTCCCCAAGCTTGCTCGGGGCATGGAGAAGGGGTCCTGTCTGCCACATGGATCACAGGACTGAAAAGCTGGAGGCCAGGGGCCATCACTGTGGAGATCAGAGGAGGTGTGGTTCCCTGTGTGCGGGTGTGAGGGCCACCTGTCCACCCAGCCCTACCCAACACGGGATTGAGGGGGAGCAGACGGCCCCCACCTGCTTCCATACAGTGTGTCCGTTCATTCGCTGTGACTCTTCTGTGGGTTTCTCTTGAACTGTGGGCGCCGGGTTGCAAAGGAACAGCCGGCTGACTCGTAGGTGTGGCAGGTGTCGAGAAAGAACAACCTGTGGGAGGACAGAGCTCCCGAGGGTGGATGAGAGCTGGGATCAGGTCTGAACTGTGGGTCCCTGCTGACGTCTGTCTTGGCCAAAGCGCCTCCCCAGATGCCTCCTGGGGCCTGAACGCAACTGAGGGGTGTTCTAAAGTCTCCCAGAGGTCCCCAGCAGGACTGAGCCCCCATTGCCTGCAGTATTGACCTACTCACTAATGTCCCTTATCCAGGCTGCCCTCCCTTCCCTGACAGCCTCTTGGGGTCACTTCCCAAGTAAACAACTTTATCTCACATCCTCGTCTCAGGCTGTGCTTTGGGGGACCTGACCTAAGACAGGGCTGTTACTAAAAGAAGAGGCACTGGATGTTGGCAGGCAAAGATAATAGATATCCCCACGACGAATGAAAAAACAAATTCCACAGGGGCGCAGGGAGAACAGACATTGCTCATCGTGTCCCAGGTACTTAACGAGACCCTCTGCAGCAACTGCCATGCTCCTCTGGGCCTGGGTTCCACTAAGCTGTGCACTGTATGGTCGCTTTTCCAACTCAGCTGCCAGCACAGCAGAGGATAAACTGAGATGTCCCTCGAAGGTTGGGGCTTTCAGGCCGAGGGTCATTTCAGGACCCCTCATGGGGGCTACTGCCTCAGACCCCCTCCTAGGGGTGCAACCTGGAGATTCCAGGAACCCCCTCCACCAACCTCTGAGATTCAGACTCAGCAGGTCTGGGGCAGGGTCTAGAGTCTGCAAAGGTAGAGCATTCCTGGGAATACACTCCGACTTGCAGCCAGGCGTGGGAACTGCTCTTAGGAATACACCGTGATTTTAAGGCACCTGACTCAGCAGCTCCTCTTGAGGTGGTGCCTGCTTCCCTTCCCCCTGAATTTGAGCAGGCCTGTGACTCACTGTACCTGCTGGAATGCAGTGGGAGTGAGGTCATGCCAGTTCCGAGCTGAAGCCTTCTACACTTCTCCCTCTCTTTGGACCCCCATCTCATCTTGACCCCAAGCCTGAGCTAGCCTCCTGGAGGACAAGACACCGTATGAGCTGAGCTCTGTCATCAGTTGTCACCCGCTAAAACCAGACAGCACCCCCGCTGGCCTGTCAGCTGCTCAGACACATGGGGAAGCCTGGCTGAAGTCACTGACCCTAATGCGTATCAGCAGAATCAGCCAGTTGACCCTAAACTCATGAGAAGTAATACTTTTTCATGAGAAGCAGTAACTGGTTAAGCCACTAAGTTTTGCCGTGGGTGGTTACGTGGCAATAGAAGACAGATATACCGTTTTGGGGAATGGGTCCATTCAAGGACCTGCTGACAGATGCAGCTCCTCCTCCCCTTTCCTCTACCCCAAAAAGCTGCTAAGCACATAGTGCCATATCACTGGGTTAGGGCTTAGACCCTTCAAACCCGTGTACAGACTGGGTCACAGGCCCCTCATGTGCCAGGCTGGGTCACCAGACCCCTCATGTGCAGGCCATGAGGTAGGTGATTGGGAAAAGATCCCGGGAGCCACCAGCAAGGTTGCCAATGTGGGCTCAGTCTCAGCATCAGCAGTAGTGATGGTGGCCTCCTGGAGCGTCCCAGGGACCCTGGCAGCAACAGCCTCCAGCAACAGTAGCAGCTTCCCTGTCCCCCATCCCCCTCTGGGAACAGGGGGCCCTGTGGATCAGAGCCATTCATCCTTTATACTTAAGTCCAATAACCCAGGACACCTGGGTGAGAGTCAGACAACCCAGGAACACCTGGGTGTCCACATGCGTCCACAAACAGCCAAAGAACACTGGGCACACATGCAGTTATTTATATCAAATGCTTGACAAGATTCCAAACCCCCAAGGAATCCTGACTATTTACTTTTCATTTTCCCTGCACATATATATATTCATAGGGCCTTACAGGGACTTCCTGAAGACCTTTCATGGGCTGCAGTGACCAACTGATACTCACAAGGCCAGATGAATCACCTACACAGGCAAAGCTGCTGCTGGGGCCATGACGACTGGGGAGCAAGGTCCAGGCTGGCGGTGTGTGGCCACTCAGCTCTGGCATGTTGTTGCCTTCTAGTCAGTGTGGTCTGGGGATTGGCAGCATCAGCATCACCCAGGTGCTTGTTAGAAACACAGAGGCTGGGCTGAACCCATGGCTCACTCGAGAGAGTGCGGCGCTGGGAGCACCGAGGCCGCAGGTTCGGATCCTATGTAGGGATGGCCAGTGTGTTCACTGGCTGAGCGTGGTGTGGGCGACACCAAGCCAAGGGTTACGATTCCCCTTACCAGTCACACACACACACACACACAAAAAGAAACACAGAGGCTGCGGCCCCACCTCAAACCAAATCTGCACTTTAACAAGATCTTCATGATTCACCTGAATATTAAAGTTTGAAAGGCACCGGCTTAACCAGAACACGTCAGGGAGCTGGATTTGGCTTTGGGCTGCCTATTTTATGACCTGACTCAGGTTAAGAAGCCTCACCTGTTCAGCCCTGGGAATGCTCTGAAGTCCTGGACTCAGAGTTCAGACACCACCTGGTGGCACCTTTTATTATATCAATTTATTCAAGTGATAGAAAACACCTCTCAGCAGCAGGAAGACAAAATAGGTCTGTAAACATGGCCACTTCATTCCCCTCCCCGTCCCTTCTTCTGAAGAGCTTCCTATAACAGGAAATAGAACTCTAGTTCGCAAATCTGGTATGAGGTCTGTAGAAAAGGGTCCTGTGGCTTGGCCAGGAAGGTAGAGACTTGCCCCTTTAATCTACCTTGTCTTAGGGGGCTGGCTGGGACCTGCCACTGTGTCATGATTTGGTCACTGAGTTTGGTTCACTAGCAGCCCCTTCCCCAGGAGGCCGGAGACTCTTTGGCAGTGGCGCAAACCCTCCTGTGTGTGGGGTGCGGGGACAGGCCTCTCGAGCAGCAGACACAGGTGGGCCAGGAGCCGGAGTCTCCCTCCAGGGAGCGCGGTATTGCTGGGACTGTGTGTGCTGTGGCAGGGGGACAGGGAGGGGCTGAGGCACAGGTGCTATCGGACGCTTGGTTGCGGCGCAACGTCGGTGGCCTCAGAATTTCCCCTGCAGAAGCCGAACCACGTGAAAGCAAGCTGGTGGGGCAGGCCTTGGCGGGCAACTCGAGGCTTCAGTCCTTGAAGGGGCTGTGGGTGTCACCCGGCTGCTCCTTCTCCATGGCCAGGAGCTCCCCGTTCATCTCCTGCAGTGGGTGGTAGACGTAGTCCCCATCCAGGTGCCGGTTCCTTTCTGCTCGGGAGCCGAGGAACAAGGATACATTTGCTGCCGTACTGATCAGCAGGAGGAAAACCAGGGCCAGGGTGAGCGCCAGCCAGGTGGTCCTGTGGGCGGAAGGAAAACCCCATGTGGGAGGGTCACTGGGCCGATAGGGGCTGGGGGAGCACCAGAGAGGCTTCTCTGCCTCCACCCAGAACAGGGGGCACGAAGTCAGGGGCCTCCTAGGACTACAAAGGGAATGTCCATGAGCAAAACGGGTGGGGCGGGGACTGAGCATGGAGCAGCGGGTATAGCTGTGAAGCAGGATGCAGGCCAGTGCTGCCACATCTCCTAATATTTCAAGAGAAGCCATAAAAAAATTTTTTTAAAAAATTGTGCAGGCCAAATAAAACCCAGCTGGGGACCTCAGCCTGTCGGGAGTCAGCAGTTTGCGTCCTGTGCTCCAGGGATTGTAGGCAGCAGACAGCGGGCCTCTCAGAGGCTCTGGGTCCTGCACCAGTGTCCCCAAGGCAGGCAGAGTAGGGAGATCTGGCCCCCTTCCTCCAAGGCAGGGAGCTGGCAGGTGACAAGGGCAGGGTCTTTCAATGATATTTTTCTTTCTTCATGAGAATCTTAGGCAGAAGCCCTCAATGTAGAAACAGCCACACGTGGATTGCTCAGGGAGACTAGGGCTGGAGCCCTGCCCATTAGACCCCAGCTGGCTCCCTGTCCCCGCTGGCAGCTGCTGACAAATCCCAGGTCTACAGGGCAGGGGGTGCTCGAAGACTCACCTGGAGAGAAGCGCCTGGACATGAGGCCGAGCGCCTGGGGCTCCAGGGATCTCACTGTCCCTGTCCTCGTACACTTTCAGAGACCTTCAAGGCCTTTTCTCCAGGTGTGGTCCTAGCCTTCAGGGTCTCCTGGGTGGTTCCCGCCTCACCCCAGACTTACTGAGTCAGGATCTCCAGGAGGGGCCCTGCAGTTCTGAGTTCCTGGGGGCTACCTCCAGGACAATACCTGGAAGCTTTCCATTCACACCCACCCCTGGCTCCCACCTCCAGAGTCTAGGGTGGGGACTGGGCGCCTGGGATTGGGCTGCCGGAGGGAGAACTACCAGAGCAGAGGTTCTCCTAGTGGGATCCCCGGACCAGTAGCATGTTAGAAATGCAGATTCCCAGGCTTCACCTACTAATGCAAAAACTATGGGGGTGTGGCCCAGCAATCTCTTTTAATAAGCCCTTGGGGGAACAAGTTTGAGACCCATTGCACTGGAAAACAAAGAAAGCACCAACATGAGGCCCGAGCACACAGAGGTGCCTGCGAAATGAGGTGAGCTGCTCGGAGCTCGGTGTCTGTGCACAGGGAGCTGACAGAGTAAGTCGTGAGTCTTCATAGCAGTGAAATTAAACCTCTGGACTTTGCCCCAGTGGGAACTGGGGTGGGGGCCCAGGGCTCTCCTCACCATCTCCCTGGACTGTTGGGTGGCTGCTGGCCAGCACCAGCTGTGGCTGTCCTGTGCTTACATCACAGAAATAACTCCGGGGTGCCAGATGTGCCTTCCTGGCCTCGCTCAGTCTCTGGGCAGAGGCCAAGCCTTGCAGAGGGGGATTCCTCCTACTCCTACCACCAGCTCCCACTGAGCACCTACCTGGTGAAAAAGGAGAGTTCTGCTGCCCTCTGGGGGGCGACAGATGGCTGGAGGCACTGCTTCACTGTAAGACACCAGAGAGAGGCTGGAGGAGCTGAAGGAGGGTCTACCCTCCCCTGCCCCCTGAGGTCCCGGGAGGGGCTGTACCTTGGGAGATGCTGCAGTTGCCAGTCTGGGGGTCGCAGGGACACTGGTGTTCACACTGGCAAGGCCTTTGGCAGCCTGGCCCGTACCAGCCGAAGGGACACTCTGCAGAGAGGAGATGGGAGGACAGGGATGGAGAGCTCCTGTGCCAGCGCCTTTCTCTGCAGCATGGGAGGGCTCCCAGGTGATTGCAGAGCCCCCTGGCCCCCCACAGGCCGGCCCCTGAATGTGACCTGATTTGGAAATAGGCAGATGTAGTTAAGTTTCTCAAGATGAGAGATGAGACCATTGTGGACTTTAGGTGGGCCCTAGAGCCAATGACCTGGGGTCCTTATAAGAGAAAGTAGAGGGAGACTGCACATAGACAGAGACAAGCCATGAAGACAGAGACTGGAGTGTCACAGCCAGGAGCCACTGAGAGCTGGAAGGGGCAAGGCAGGATCCTCCTCTAGACCTAAGGGAGCAAGGCCCTGTCTACACCTGCTTTCTGACTTCTGGTCTCCAGAGTGGTGAGGATAGACTTGTTGCTTCCGCCCCACCCAGTCTGTGGAGTCTGCTGCACCAGACACAGCAGCTCACACACAAGGCAAGTGCAGGAGACCAGAGGCAGCCCGTTTCCAAATGAAGACAGGACAAAGGCGGCTGGGAAGCTCCACGCCTCCAGGATCACCCTCCCCGCATCTGTTGGGGCCCAAGGAGGGCGCTGGCCTGCTGGCTTTTACCTTCGCTGCAGTTGGAGCCTGTCCACCCAGCTTCACAGAGGCACCCGGCTGCCAAGACAAGGCCAAGGAGGCGAGGTGAGGGCCCAGGCGGGGTGGGGGGGTCCCCAGTTAAGCCATATCCCTGGAAGCCCCCCACTCACTCTCTGTGCACAGCCCGTGCTGGCTGCAGTTGGAGGGGCCACAGTCCAGCTCGCTGCAGGCAGTGTCCCGCCAGAAGCGTCCCGTGCACTGGCAGTGACCCTCCACACAGGTCCCATGGCCATTGCAGTCGGGCGGCTGGCAGTGGGGTTCATGCACACACACCACGGTAGACACGTGGCGGGGACAGCGCCACATATTGTCCTTGCTGCAGGGGGACACAGCATGTGAGGAGAGGCCCCTCAAGCCCCTACTGCTGCCCACGGGGCTGCCCCTCCCTGTCTCTCTCTTCTCACTTCTCTGGACTTTTACAGGTTCTGCCCATGTCCTACAATCCCTCCCGCCCCAGGGCCTTTGCACATGCTGTGCCCGCTGCCCTGAAGGCTATCCCACCCTGCCCAGCCACTTCCTCATCCTTCAGATCTCAGCTTATGTTCCATTATCCTTAGGGAGCTCTTTCCTGACCCACTGACCCCACTTTATAGGCTTGGGTAGCACCAGTATACTGAGAGGTAGGGGTCTCAGCTCTTCCTGTTCACTCTTGAATCCCCAGGGCCTGGCACATAGCAGGTACTTGATACTGGCTGGATGAGACAGTAGGGGGCAGGCCTGGACTTTACCCTTATGAAGAAGAGCTCTGCTGTGCTTACCAGTGATCGGACGGGTAACTGGCCAAGGTCCCGTTGAGCACGAAGGTGGCAGACCCGCCTCCGTCCAGGTTGATGGCGTTGACCACGTCCTGTTTCAGCAGGAACTCCGCCATCTCCCACAGGTTAATGCTGTGGCACAACAGTGTGTCCACTGCTATTTCTGGTTTAACTCGTCTCACTTTCAATGGTGGGCAGTATATACTCACTATGGCTGGCAAATTTCTAAATGGCCCCCCTGTGATGTCCCGTCCTAGTCCCCAGAAGCTGTGAACATGAGAGCTCACTCCCGTGAGTGTGTTATACGGCATACGTGTCCTTAAGGGAAGAAAATATCCTGGATTATCTGGGTGAGCCCAGTGGGGTCACAGGAGCCCTTACAAGCAGCGAGCTGTCTCTGGCAGAAGAGGAAGTGAGAGATCCGAAATATGAGGGGGATTAAAGGTGGATTAGATTTGTGGTGTGAAGATAGGGGGCGGGGGATGTACGTGAGAAGGAAGGTGAGCAGCCTTAAGGAGCTCAGAGGCCCCCAGCTGGCGGCCAGCACCGAAACTAAGACCTCAGTCCTGCAACCAAAAGAAACTGGATTCTACCCACAAACTGAATGAACTTGGAAGAGGATTCTTTCTCAGAAGTTCCAGATGAGAGCCCTGCCTGGCCAACTTCTTGCCTTTGTCCATGGGACACGCAAACACAGAACATTCCCAGCTGAGTGTTCCTGGATTTCTGATCCTCAGAACTGCGATCTAACAAATAGTGTTGTTTTAAACTGCTAAGTTTGTGCTGATTTGTTACACAGTGATAGCAAACTAATATGCTCTCTTTACAGAGGCTGAGGCTGCGGTTCAGAGAGGCTGAGTGACTTGTCTACAGTGCAGAGCTAGCAATGGCTGAGCTAGGATTGGAACCAAGGTCTTCTCCCTGCTAACTCTGTAATAATTTCCTTATATCCCAGCCAGGGCTCAGGAAAGATGAGGCCTAGAGATGGGGACAATGAGAGGAACTGTGTGGAGGAGAATGAGTTCTTGGAAGTGGGATGGACCTAGGGACCCTCTTCCTGTGGAATGGTGGGGGACAGACAGGTGTGGACATCCCCAGAGAGAAGCTGGGGTCAGACAGGTGGCTGTTGCTGGGTTGTTCCTCAGCCCAGGCCTGGAGGTCCCAGTTCTCAGCACTCACCCACGCTGCTCCGTCTGTCCATCTGCGTGGAAGAGCACCAGCTGCCCTTTCCGGTCGTGGCCCACGGCCGTCCTGGCGGACATCACATTCACAAATTTGCTAAAGGAACCTGAAGGAGAAGCGATATAGCTGATTGCCTGGCCCTTTGGGAGGCCTCCTGGGCTCTGGCTCCCATTTCTTGCCAAACACCACTCTCCACTCCTGGCCCAAGCCACCCAGCACCTCCCCTGCAGGGACACAGCCTCTCTGTTGGTCTCCCTGCCTTCCCTCTGCCCCATTCCAGCCAGAGGCCTCTTCTTAAATATAAACCAAGTGACATCAACCTCCAGGTAAAAGCCCTCTAATGGCTTCCACTATTCTTAGAACAAAATCCAAAGGCTCTGCACAACCTCTCCAGCCTTCTCCCCTTCCTGCCTCCTCTCCTGGGCAACCCCTTCACGTCCCTGGAGCCACTTTCTGCCTTAGGGCCTTTGCGCTTTCTGTCCCCTCTGGCTAGAAACTGCGCTCCTCTCTAACTCTTCCCATGGCTTGTTCCTTCTGATCCAAGGTCACCTCCTCAGGGAGGCTAAAACAGCCCATGCCCACATCAATGTTGTGGCATTCCTTCCCTGCCCTGGTATTCCGCATCCCAGTGGTTCTCAAACTTGAGCATCCATCAGACTCACAAGGGAGCTTTTTAAAACAGAGCCTCTTGGGCCTCACTTCCAGGGACCCATTCTGCAGGTCCGAGGCAGGTGGGTCCAGGGTGATGCTGCTGCTGGTCCACGACATTTCAGCAGCACTTCTCTGTTCCTTTGCCCACACCTCCTGGCCCCCATCTCTCCCCTTCCCCAACCTTATTTCTCTCTTTTAGCACTTACCAATTATTTCCAGCTACTTATATAACTACTTTGTTTCTTGTAGATTGCATATAAAACTGTCTTAATCCCCACAGGTCCCCCAGTACCCAGAAGAGTGCTGGCCACAAAGTAGCTGCTCAGCAAACAATTGTGGAAAAGATTTCAGAATAGCTCCCCTCCTTCCTCTCCCCACCACCCCAACCACTCCTGGTTCTCAAAAGGACTGTTGCCAACAGCCTGCTGTCCCCACCTGTTTCCTGAGTCTCATCACACTCGGTGGCCTGGCTCTCATTGATGTAGATGCTTCCATTGCGAATTAGCCACACGACCCCGCTCAGCAGCTGCACAAATGGATTCTCAGTGTCCAGCACCTCCTCCTCAGACAGGTACCTGGATCCAGGGAAGGTGTGAAACTCACTCACCAGCAGAGGCAGCTACAGGTGGATAGTGGGGCTCCTCCCCCCCTCCCCCCCTCAGCCTGGCTGCTGGATTCTTCCTCCTGCCCCAGGAACCTGTGTGGGCCTGGTCCTGAGTGTAGCTGTGGTGCTCTGCAGCTGTTTGGGACTTCCCTGTTGTCAGAGCCAGGGCCAACAAGACTGAGTAGCAGGGCTCTGACAATACCCCTATGCACCTTTGTAAACATCAATTGATAGAAACAACCATCCCCAACAAATGTCAAATGCATCTACATCCCTCCTTCTCCAGGCCATCATCCCAGCCAAACTACCACCTGAGCCCGTAACAGCCTCTTTTTTTTTTTTTTTTTTAAAGCAGGCAGGTATGTGGATCTGAACCCTTGATCTTGGTATTATAAGGCTGGGCTCTAACTAACTGAACTGACTGGCCATCCCACGCAGTCTAGTTTTAATGCGCATCACTTGTCTAATAATTGACCTCCAAAATCATTTGTAACTTAATCTTGAATTCTACCAGATGTTGCATGTGATCATATGACATTTTCTTTCTTTAAAATTAGGTATAGCCCATGTATGTGGGACAAACCGTTTTCCTCCACCTTCCCTAATCACAACAAGCCTATGGGATATGCAATCATGGCATGGTTTGGGTTGCCCAGATGTTCCAAAATCTGTTACTCAGCATTTACTGTGGGGAGGAAAAAATAAGTCACGCTATCAACTTAAGAAATGTGGAAACTCCTTTCCAAAAGCTAAGCAAAAAGCAATGAGGAGCAAACCACTTACCAGTCAAAGAAGAGCAGAGTGTGACTTGCTAAACTTATGAAACAGAACAGTGCGAAGCAACGCCAAACTGCAAAGACGCGTCTGCTTTTCGTATTTGTAGAATTACACTTGGAGGAAATTTTGCACAATTTTCCTTACAAGTTTATACTTTGATTCGAGAAGGATTTTGTTCTTGCTCCAGAGCTGCCTTCTTTTGCACAGCTTTTGGTGCACCTCCCTTGTATATCCATCAGCAATTTTAGGAGATCTTTGCCAATGTCAGTCCATCCACAGCCTTGATATTACAGTCTCATCTCAACACAGCAGTCAGCACAATTGTGTTGAAACACCAGTGATATTATGCCATAACAGCCTCTTAAACGGCCTCCTGCTTCCACCAACCTAGACTCCACCCAGGATTAGAGCAAGCTTTTAAACAATCAGATAATCTGAATTTATTTAAACGATCAATCCTGTCATTCTCTGATATTGTTCGTTTTTTCAGTCCCTCACACACATCAAGCTCCCTGTACCTCTGAGCCTTTGCCCTTGCTGTTCTTTCTGACTTGTGACTGATCTTCAGATCTCAACTCAAAGGTCACCTTCTTAGAGGCCTGTTCCTGATTACCCTCCCTAAAACCAACACTCTATATACACCCCGTTCATTGCTTCGCTGCACGCACACGACCTAAATTTATCTTTATTTACTTGGCTTTTGTTTACATTTCCTATAAATGGGGGAGGTCCCTTAAGGCAAAGACTGTGTTTGTTCACTCCTATCTCAGCAGCGAGCAGCACACTGCCTGACACAAAGCCAAGTGCTCAGTGATACCGGATGACCGGATGACGAGCAAACTCTGCAAGGAAGGCATTACTATCCCCATTCAGTAGATGAGGAAACGGAGGTCAACTTGGTTAGGTGACTTGAACTCGGCGACAGGGCTACTACCCAAGTCTCAGGCCCTCTGGCCTCGACAGCCACGGGTCTCCCTGCCTCCTCACCCGGTGACCAGGGTCCCGTCGCGGCGGATCCCGAACTGCGCGTTCTGCAGCCCCCCGGAGCTGCTCACCCGCCGCCCGTCGCTCACCACGTTCCCCAGGCACTCGCCCGTGGCCATGCGGAAGAAGCCGCCGTTCTGGGCGACACGGCAGCCGGCCGCCAAGGCCGTCTCCTCCACGGTGACGCGACGCCTCTCCGCGCAGCCGCCGGGCCCGCCGGGCTCCAGCACCGAGAAGGTGCGCAGGGGCGAAGCGGCCCGCGTCAGGTGGCCAGTCACCGCGCGGCCCCCGAAGTGTGAGACGAAGGTGCGCACGGCCGCGCCGCCGGCGTCGGGGGTCGCTCCTGGTTCTCAAAAGGA